GCAGGAATGGGATGGAGCATCTGGGTTTAATCAGAGAGTAAGTTTAGATGAGAATTCAGGGAATATTGAGCTCCTTCATATAAGGCTGGAGACTTTAGAATCCAAGCTTTAGTGGGCTGAGGAAGGAGGAGATGGAGCACCCTGCAGAGCTAAGCGCTGGTAACTCTGCTTCCAGGTAAGTAAGCAACAGCAGCAGGACTCGAGGAACAGATGATAGAACACTGTGCATTTAGGATTTAGACTTTATATGCTCTGGTGAAGCTGGTGGTGTCTCTCAGACATTAAATGGCCTGGCTGACTTGGATCTACAAGTGAGAATCTCTTTCAGGCATGGGGTGCCATTTGCTATTTGTTAGAGGCACTTACCTGTTTGTATCTACCTATATATCAGGTAACTTACAGGCGGAGAAAAGTGCAGTGTTAGATTTTTACTGATAGCTTATACTACACAGTGATAGTTTACTTTGTGAACTGGCTTTTCAACATTTTTTAGTGTCTTCTTCAATGGAACAAGAAAAATACATATGCAATACATCGAGTGTTCCAAGAATCTGAGAAATCCACTATTCCTTCAGTGTAGTTCTTTTTCTCATTCATTCTGCTCATGCTGAGTATATCCTACTCTTTTGATACTGATGGGTATACTGAGTATGTGTAGACCAACAGATCAGAAAATGCAACAACTGATCTGCAAGGGAACTTTCAAAAAGCCGTGCCAATGTCCATGTAGATTATGCTAAAAGTTGGAATATTTAGATGTTAGAAAACTCACAGTGGTTCATAGTACTGCTGGAATTTTTAATGGTAGCAGACATACAGAGACTATGAAGAAATCTGAGCCTAAGAATCTTCCTAGACTACATTTCCGAACAGGAAAGTAAGGGTAAGTCTGGGAAAATGGTAGTTCTCTACTACGAGAACAGTGAAGCCTTAGGAGGTAGTGAAAGCATTACTGATTCTTGATTCATTTATTTTTTAAATGGTATTATTATAGATGTTATATTTATAGCAGAATTGCAGTTCTGAAGTGTATGTTACAAGATGTTTCTAGCAGAGAAGTTCTAATACATTTTGTCATGTTAACAGTTTTGGTATACTTGGACATATAATGGTATCTTCCAGAGAAATAAATTACAAAA